GCTGGGGGCCTGCTGAATCCTATTAGTACAGAGGCTCTGCTGTCACAGCGGGGACAGAACAGGGACATCTCAACGCGTGAGGGGCACACGGTCAGCTCAGAAGCTGCCCTGGGCCACCAGTGTTTTTTGTTGTACCTGCGCAGGGTTTTAAAAAACAATTTTGAAGTAGGTGCCAAAATTTTAAAAATCAAGAGATCTGGGGCACCTGGGTGGCTCAGTCATTAGGTGTCTGCCTTCGCCTCAGGTCATGATCTCAGGGTGCTGGGATCAAGCCCCACGCTGGGCTCCCTGCTCAGCAGGAAGCCTGCTTCTCCCTCTCCACACTCCCCCTGCTTGTGTTCCCTCCCTTGTTGTATCTCTCTCTGTCAAACAAATAAATAAAATCTTTTTAAAAAACCCCCAAAACCAAGAGACCTTACATAGATACCTGCTACCTGCCTTCTCTTGTAACCTCAGAAGACCTGGCAATATTTGGTTTCTTGTTCTGTGAAGGGCCTGCTCTCCCCATTTCTCCACAGACCGCACACTTCCCTGTTGTCTCTACGGGTCTGCATCACCCAGGGATGTTGTCCTCCGGGCCCCTGTAGACACGTGGGCTTGCCACCGCACTGACCCAAGAACGCATGCTTCCCTGAATCTTGTCTGAGCTCTGGTTTCTGGGGATGGATGTAGCCGTGGACTCCTGCCCAGGCAGCGCTGGCCCCCCACACCTCCCTCCCTTACCTCTCCTGCCACCCAGCCAGAGGAAGGGGACGCTGGATCAGTTCTGTGCGCACACCGGCTCACTGAATCCTCGCCAGGAGCTGGTGAGGGAGTTACTGAATTTCCATTTTGCAGATAAGAACACTGAGGCCCAGTTGGATCAAGGAGCTCGAGCGCATCAGTGATGGTGCCCTGCCTCTCCGGCTCACCTGATGGTTTTCTGGACCTTGCTCCAAACTACGGGATCTGAGGCTCGTCGTGGTGGGTCTGGGGAATGCGTCATCTTAGAAAGCTCTCCTGTGGGGCGCCGGCCCAGTCTGGGCCTTGCTGTGCTGGCCACTTGGGGCGGAGGTGTGGGTTCTGTCTCTGCTCCAAGGACAGTAAAGGGATGATCAAGTGCCTCCCCACCCAGATGTCACCCTGGATCTGCTGCACAGTTAAACCCTGATGGGCTCCACACCTGAGCTTCCCGCGCGGGGAAGAGAAAAGAGCTCCCTGCCCCCTCTGGCCTTCCAGGAACGGGAATGAATAAGAGGTAGGACCCCCCCACCCCTTTCCCTCTATCCCAGACCCAGGGTGGACAGGATGGGCAAAGCTGTTTTGCCGGGGCCCGCAGGGAGGCCGGGAGGCAGGGAGGCCAGTGGGGGCAGAGGCCTCAAGGTGCTGAAGCCTCTCCCCTCATCCCTGCTCAGTACTTATTCCTCATTCCACAGGTCCCTGGGCTTTCTCCAGCTGCTTTGCTCCCCTCCCCCGCAGTGGCCTGGTGTCTCTGCCCCCTCCACCACCCAATCTGGGTCTCCCTTGAGAAATAGCTGACAACAATGGCAGGCTGGGAGCAACCACAGTACCAGAGACCTTTGATTTGGGAGGCGGGGTGGGGGGCGGTCAGTGAGATGGCCCTATATAGAGATGCACTTGAGCTTGGCCATGCCTGGGTTGGGTCTTGGCTGTCTGGTGTTTAGTTTAGCTCTGTGATCTCTTTATACTCCCTGACCTCAGCCTCTGCGTCTGAAAACAGGAGGTAGAGGGGAGTGCTGTCTCTATAGGGAAAGCTCTACAAGGTGGGGATCAGGTCTGGCTTGCTCAATGTCACATTCTTGGACTATGGGATCTTAGCAATTCAATAACCCACTGGGGAGTCAAATGACTATTAATTTAATAAGAAAATGCCCATGAAGACCTTAGCTCAGAGTTCAATGAGACTCAGTCAATGAGACTGTAGCAAATGCTCAATAAGTATCAGCTACTCTTGTTGGCAGGCTACAGGGGGAGGCACTCGGGCCGTGAGACTCAGGGATTCCTGGGACGGGTTCAGTCTGAGATCCCAGAACCCGAGAACCCCCAGGTCCCCTAGGTGCCTACTCAGAAACATCAAGGGCACCATCTGGGCAGTTCCTCCAACGCCTTTGTTGCCCCATCTTGTCTCCCTGGCCCTCTCTGGCTTCCTGGCCCTGCTGTGCTTTCCCACCCGGAATTTAAAAAGGAAAAGCAGAGGAAGTTGCAGCCATTTGCTGAACCATCTAACCAGACCTAATTAATCGATAAGCCAAGCTGCCCCTTTCCTGCCAACCAGCCGCCTGAAGAGTACTTACTTCAGTGAATTGATAGCCCTACTTTCGCCACCACCACGTCTGATCCCCGCCGCCCGCAGAGGCTGGGTGCCAAGGGGAGCTGGGAGCTGCTGAGCGGGGGCCGCCTTGCCATCCTGCCAGGGAGACGTGGTCTCCAGGTGCCCAGTCCTCAAGTTACAAGTGGGAAACTGAGGCCCAGATAGGGGCCCAGAGGGGTTAGGCTGGGACCTGCTCTCTGGCCCCAGATCGCCCAATGAGGTGGAAGGAGGGCCGTTGACCAGACTCCTGAAGATGGGGGTCCCCCTGCAGCAGCTAAAGGCAGATCAGAAAGGCGACCACACTCCCCAGAAGGTGTGGCGCTCTGGTCCCCACCACCATGTTGCTAAGCCCGCTGTGACTGCAGGTGGAGGAAGGGTCTTATAACAGCCACTGCATCCCCAGGGCAGGCAGAGGTCATGGAGAGGACCAGTGGCCTATAGCCTGGACACGGATCAGAGAGCTTCATCCTTGACCCCGAGCTTCCACAACAGTGGCCATTTGTCGGGTGATTTCCGGAACATTCCTGATTTAACATATCCTGCTCCAAGTGGGGGAGGGTTAGAAGTCACAGGTGTCAGAACCACAGGACCCCGCGTGTGCACCTGCCAGCCTTGACCCTGAACCACCTCATCAACCACTTGCCTTTGCCTTGGCCCCCCCGTTATACACACGCAGAATCCATAGGAAATAAAATGCAAACATGAGCTGAAAATGACAGCCCTACTCTATAGGCAGGACCATCGTGATTGGTCAGCAACACGCTCCCAGGCTTTGCCCCGAAGCCCTGATGCTCTTCCTGTGTCCAGACAGATTTCTTTCCAGTGCCTCCCCAAGATGTAGAAATTATGCACACGGGTGTATTATAAATTTTACAGAAAAGGGGTTATACCGGACACACCGTGCAACAAATCGCTTTTTCCTCTCATCAGCAATTCTATACTTGGGGTCTTGGGAGCCTGCTGTGGAAAGATGCCCCCAGTGTATGTTGTCCCAGCAGAGTTCTTGGTGGGACCCCTGCCCACATGGCGTAAGCCATGCTCCCAATCCTGATTAAGCCCCACGTTAGCCTGTTTAACCGTCACCACCATCCCATGAGAAGGACATGGTTGTTATCATCCCCATTCTACAGACTGGGAAACTGGGCCACAGAAGGGTCCTTGTCCGGGGTCTCACAGCTAGTGGCTGGCAGTGTCGGGAATCCAGCCAGGCTGTCTGGCTCCAGAACCATGCTCCCACCCGGCACACCAGTGTCATCAGACTAGAGCACCCATCAGAATTCCCTGCACGGCTCAATAAAACAGATTGTTGGTCCTACCCCAGAGGTTAGGATGCAGTAGGTCTGGTGTGGGGCCTGAGAATGTACATTTCTAGTAAGTTTCCAAGTACCACTGAGGCTGCCTGTCCAAGAGTCAAACGAGGACAGTGTCACACAGGGCTGCCCCCTATCACTGAGCCCTCGCTGACCCAGGGATGAGGCTTTCCCAAGCCTCTCCTGAGTGCAGACCAGGGTGTTAGGGAGCTGGCTCAGGGGCAGAGCTCTTGTCGCTGCAGACCCGCACATTATCTGTTGAAGGAACAAATGACTCAGGTATCGTGCAGTCACTTAATCATCTGCCACCTTTCCCGGACATCAAAGGCTTTTTTTAATCTAGTTTTTTGCCTCCACCCAAAGTGGCCTGGAGATATATTCTTCTCCAAAGCTGTGAGTAAAGGATTAGCTCAGCAGGTGTGGGCTGTCCACACCCTGCATATGCCAAAGAGAAGTTTGGCCCTTTATCAGCCTCTGTGAGGTAATCTCTGAGAGGTTGGAATGTCTTGCCTGGTAAGAGTGTCTTTGTTTACCTGGGGCTTTGGGACACATTCGTTTGGTTGATGGTGATGATGTGATTTATGGCAGGGGGCCTCTAGGTCAAGGGATTGAAGATCAAGGTCAACCATACAGGCACTCAGCCATGCCTACACTGTGATCAATTCTCAACAAAACACCCGGGACACTAAGGCGTGGGCAAGCTTCCCTGGCTGGTGCTACGTCACACAAGTTATTATATATCATTGCTAGGAGGACTGACTACGGTCTGCACGATTACACTGGGAGAGAAAACCGGAAGCTTGCACTGGTGTCTCCAGGAGCCACCCACGTACCTTTTTGGGTTGCTGATTTTAATGTCTTCTCAGTGTGATAAACTGTAATTGAGAGTGTACTGTTTTGCTAGGTTCTGTCCTTCTAGAAAATCACTGAGCCTGAGGGCAGCCCTGAGGACCCCCAGACACAAGCATCAGTTCAATAAGAGGCTGGACAGTTACAGAGCATCTTCTGAGTGCCCAGGTTTCACCCAAGCCCTGCCCACACTGCCCAGCTCCACTGGTCTCTAGACCTTCCAGCTCTCCAGGCCCTCCAGAGGACATTATCAGCCATAATTCACCTCCCTCTATGGAAAAACCATGTGTCTTGTCTGTGCAGCCCTGGCCACCATAGGCAGCCCCTCTGATGTAACACCAGGTACCACCCCAGGTACCAGATAATGTCCCAGGAGCCCGGTAACATCCTGAGTATCAGCTGACATCCCAGGAACCAGGTAACATCCTGGGAAACAGGTACCACCCTGAGTACCAGCTAACATCCCCAGAGCCAGGCGACAGTCCAGTACCCAGGTAACGACCCAGAGCCCCCCAGCAGGTCTTCCTTACCTGCCAATGACCTCGATGTTGGAGATGGCATAGAAGTACTTGTAGAGGTTCTCCCGCTGCACGTAGGTGCCCCCCAGCGCCGGGCGCAGCAGCCGCATGCGCAGGTCCGTGAGGGTGAAGAACTCCTTGAGGCCCTTGGCGCTCTCCAGCCGCGTGTAGAGGTTGCCCATGTTGCGCAGGTCGGGGCCGGCGAAGATGGCCAGGCGGTCCCGCACCTCGAAGCGCACGTGCTTCTCCTTCTTGGAGCCGGCCCAGCGCGAGTACTCCTCGGTGCACAGCACGCGGTGGGCGCCCGTGGATGACAGGTCGCGGGCGCGGCGCGCCACCATGCCGAAGGCCTCCATGCAGTCCTCGGCGTAGAACTGGTAGGGCTGCCACGTGCGCCCGTTGTCCAGGGACTTCTCCAGGACCATGACTGTGGGCCGGCCGTACTCGAAGGTCACCACCACGTCGTCGGTCAGCTCCACGCTCTTGTTCCATGAGAGGGTGATGTTGGCTTCCAGCGGGCTGGGGTAGCGGCTCCACGTGACGCTCTGCCAGTACGTGGCCAGGCCCTCATCCTCCCTGTCGAACATGAGCCGGGGCGGGTGGGCCAGGTCGGGGTTGGAGGCGTCGCACTCGTTGCTGCACAGGTATGGGTTCTCCTGCGGGAGGAGGAGATGGGAGGGGTTGGCAATGACCGCGGGGCGGGGGGGGGGGGCGGGGGGGACAGGGGCGGGGCCGGGGAGCCTCCAACCCACCCGGTCCCCACTGCGCACTGCCAGGGCGCCTGACCCCACGAGGCAGAGCCTGTGGTCTGGGGTCCGGGCACCAGGAGCCTCTCCTGGGCTGGTGATCTGTCCCCATATCCCACTCCCGAGGCCCCTGTGGCTCCTAAAGTCCCGCCTGTTTAATGCAACTCTTTAGTCCGTCCTTCCACGGGACCTGCAGGCCCTGCTCTCAGCCCCCACCCCCCCCCCCCCCCCCCCCCCCCCCCCCCTCGCGTGCCCCCCCCCCGGCTCCCCCCCCCCCCCCCCCCCCCCCCCCCCCCCCCAGCCCGGCTGGCTTGGCCCCCGGAGCACTGCTACCCTCCGCACCCCGCTTCCCTGCGCTCCGGAGCCTTCACCCATGGTACTCCCTCTCCTCCAAGGACCCTTCCCGTCTGTCTGCCTTGAAAATTCCTACTCACGTTCTTAACTCTTCAAACATCTACACCAAGACACCTTCCTGACCCTTAAAACAGCGGCATGAGAGCGACAGGCATGGCGGTGGGAGAGGAAGTCAAAGTCCCGGCAAATATTGGAGCGCCAGGCACGCGAGGCCAGCTGCAGACCTCGTCGTCTCATTTCTCCCGTTTGCTGTCTCACCCCCAACAAAGAACGTGATGATTAGCTCCACGCTCTGGATGAAGGAACCCGCGCTCGGGAAGGTGGGGGGCCCTGACCCAAGGCACCCACCAGGTGCTGGGAGCCACACCTGGGCCGCTCTGCGGCAGAGCATGGCAGTCAGGCCCGCCTCTGCCTCGCGGCCGGTGTGCCCGCCTCATGCGCAGTCGGGGGGCCCCGGGAGGACACTGAACGCCTATAGGGTCCTCTCAAGGGGGCAAATCATTTCCGGGGCCTTGGCACAGGCCCGGCAGGCTCAGGGGTGGACGCTGGCTGCGGGACACGGGGCACTGCCCACACTTGCTCTCTCTCCTCCCGTCCTACCCCGAGAAGGCTGGCAGCCCCCCTCCTGGGCCCCGCGGGCACCCACCATGGCTCCCCTCCCTGACGGTTCAGATCCATTTCCCAAGTCTGCCCACAGCGTGAACTCACCCGGAGGCCTGGAGACGTCACCTATGTAGGGACTGCCCGGGGCTGGAGGGGTGACTAGGAGGAGCACGGGGGGATTTCCGGGCAGTGAAGCAATTCTGTGTGACACATCATGGTGGAGGCAGGACGCCATGCATCGGTCCAAACCCACCGGCCCGATGACACTGAGAACGGCCCCTGATGGACCCAAGGGCTCTGGTTGACCTTAACTATGGGCGTCGCTCGTCAGCGGTGACAAACGTACCAAACCAGTGCAAATGTGAGTAGTAGGGGGGAGACAAGGGGAGCACTGGGAACTCCCACCACTGTAAGCCTAAAACTGCTCTAAAACAGGGTCTATTAATTTAAAAAAAACCAAAACTGTCATGAAGAACCACAGCGCCCAGACCACTCACATCGCTTTGTGATGAATATTTCACGTCTCTGGTTTGCTCAGAGACAAACAGCTTGGATCTGAGTTAAAGTCTCCCACTCCAAAATGAGCCCCTCGGCTCCCACGGGGGTGGGGGGTGGTCTCGTTGCCTCCCTGGGGGGCTGAGCTGAGGCCCGCACCGGCAACACCACGGCAGCCTCACCGCTGATGCCCTTTAATGGAGGACACACTCCCGGGCTGCCCAGGGGTCCTCGGTGGGCAGGCTGGCCCAGGGTTTTACTGAGGCAGGTTCCACAAAGCCCTCCTCGACCAAAATAGCTCTGTCCTTGGTCCCCTGTGGTGCCACCGTCCACCCCACCTGGCCCAGGCCTGCTGATTCTTAGGACCCGCAAACCTCAGGATGGAAGGGGTTTACCACCGAGTCCAAGGCCTCGTTCAGCAGATGGGGAAACTGCTGGAGGCCGGGGACGAGGCAGGACTGGCCCAGGCCTCCTTGACAGCGGGTGGTGTTTGAGGAGGAAACTTCCTGTCCCAGACAACCTCGGGGCTGTCCTGAAACGCTAGTGTCCTCACATGCTTCCCGGCAGGGAGAGGGGTCTAGCTTGTAGGTCCCAGCTTCCCTGAGTTCCAGAGGAGTGACCCTGCACTGTCGCCCCAAATGGGAAGGGGCTGAGAAGCCCCTGGGGTTGGCTCACTGGCCTGCAGAGGCCAGGCTTGGTGACTAAAGGAAGCAAGCCTGCCTGTGGGGTGGGGGACAGCGCCCGCCCCAGTCCCTTGGCCGACAGTGCTGAAGCACACCCAATCCGGAGGCAGAAAGGGCTCCGGTCATGGTCATGTCATTTGGGGTGGAGTTGCGCCAGAGATCTCGCATGGACACCGGGGGCGGGAGGATACAGTTTGCCCCTAGGTTGGCATCCTTGCCCACCATCCAGCAACCCCCCTCTTCTCACCCCCAGGTCCCCTTCCACTGCCCCCAGCACCTTGTTGGGGGCTGAATTGTGTCTCCCTAGACCTCAGGCTGTGGGAATGTGACTGGTTGGAGAGAGGGCCTGACAGAGGCCGTCAGGGTGGGTCCTGACCCAACACAACTGTAGTCCCTGGAAAGAGAGGAAATTGAGATCTGTAGAGGGACCCCAGAGGCGAGCGTTCACGGAGGAAAACCATGTGAAGAAGAGGAGGAGGGCGGCACCTGCCAGCCCCAGGGAGGCGCCTCTGAGTAAACCAGACCCGCCCTGGTCTTCAAGGGTCAGGCAGACTTTGATCTCAAATTCCAGCTGCCAGAGCCCCGAGCAAATAGATCTCTGACGTGTGCCTCACCTCGAAGCTGGGGCGAGGGGAAGGTCAGGGTGGGAGGACTGACATGTGAGTTTTTTATGATTTCCGCAGAACCTCTGTCTGGAGCGTTGCTCTCCAAGCCTGGTTTCGAGCCCACGGGTACCAGACATCAAGCTGCCTTGCCCACCCCAATAATTCCTATCCACCCAGCACCGAAGGCTGTGCCCTTTTTCTGGCTGCCTCAACCCTTCTTACCTCTGAGCTTATGTTCCTGCAGCCACTCTCCCTCCTCAGCATTTTCAGAGCCCTCCCCCATGCGCCTCCTCCAGGAAGCCCTCCTTGCCTGACTCCCAATTTAAACCCAGTTCACTTGTCATCCATCATGGGACGTCTGTGGTTATCTGGGACAACGTAGTAAATCCTCTGTATAGGGCTTGGACCTCAGTAGCCGCTCACTCAATTACAGTTATTACTGTCATCCCATTAATTAGTCATTAATATAATGACGATTGGATTAGTATTACTGTATCTCATGTTGAATGCTGATATTATTTCCGTCACGCCCGGACTGCTGTGAATCACCCCACACCTCCCCTTCCCCCAGTCCTTCTTCATCCCCCGTCCTAACTTCCCTCACCCTTCCCAGCCTCCTGGCAGTCCCCACCATGGGCCGTGGGATCACACACAGCTCCCGGCTGTGCTGGCCTGTCTGTCACCAGCAAGACTGACATGGCCAGCTCTGCCAGGGGACGGGGGTCCGGCCCGGCTGCCGACACCACGCTGCCATCACCTGCGGGGCCCGCTGGCCCCCCGCCCCCCGGGCCGGGAAGCAGATGGTCAGAAAGTAATGAATCAGCCTGTGTATTTACCAGCCCCGCGCCTGCTGCTGAGCGGGCTTAATCAACAGCGAGCACGATAAATAAATCCCCAGCCATCGCCAGCACAATTCTCTCCCTCTCCCTCCTATTTTTCTTCTCCCTTGCACCGCCCTCCCGCCTCAAGATCTTGGAATTCATTTAACCATTTCGGGGTGCGGGATGCGTCTCCTGTTCAAGGCACTGTCCCTGCTGAAACGGCATCTCTCCCCCAGCATCATTGCTCTCTCCCTGGCTTTCCTTCTGTTCTCCCCTAGCAAGAGTTCCCGAGGAGGAGCCTGGGGCTGGGAGCCCAGCTGACCCCCAACCCCCCACCCCCAGAGCTGTGCCTCAATCTGACAGCTCATGACGGCAGGTGGGAGGGAGGGGCCGGGCTGGAGGGCCTGTGGCTGCCCGCCTTCTTGGTCCACACATTTCCACCCATCTCCATGAGATCAGACTAACCATGAAACACAATCCAGACAACACCTGACTTAAAGCCAGAGAGAAAGTTAGGGGTGTTGGTGGCACCCCTAAACTTTTTAGGATGATACCAAAGCCAACATTTGATATTATTGAAAGCAGTAATTATTTTTTTTAGACAGTTCACAAATATTTCCCAAAAAGTAAATAAATTAAAATCATACCTGATTCCATCTTTGAAACTTTCTCCCCCCAAAATATGTAACACACCACATTTTCTATGCAAACTCTGTGGACTCATGGGGTCCCATCACCCCAGTGAGGAACCCCTGTTCTGGAGCAGTTAAGGAAACAGGCTTTGGGGTCTGAAAGTCCTAGGTTTTAATCTCAGCTCTATCCATTGAAGCTGTGTGACCTTGAGGAAGTTGCTTTACCTCTCTGAATATGTAGTCTCTCGTCCAACAGCATGGGATATAATGTGTATGAAATACCTAGAAAACCTCTCCAAATGGTAGCAATAATTATTCCAGAGCAGCTCCCAATACGCTAGCTCAGGGGCTCCCCCAGCAACCTTCAAAGGGAAGAAGGAAGGCGGAGGCCAACCAGCTCATTCACGGTAAAACCAGGACTTCACACCAGACACAGACTGCCTGGGGAGCTGCGGGCTCGAAAGTGGGTAATGACCATGACATTCAGCGAGTTCGAACCAGGTGCCAAGGCTGGACTAGGCACATCACAGCCATTCCGCATGGCATCTTCCCAGCAGCCCCTTGGGGTGGGGGGGGCAGGGCTGCAGAATTACCTCCTCTTCACAGACTGAGAATCCGAGTACCTGCCAGCCCCACGTCCCTTCCTCTGAACAGAGTGGGACTAGCCAAGGAGATCTTGGGGAAACTGAGCCCATCCTATCATGCCTTTCCTGTCTC